GCTGCAGACAGGTTTATCCCCGTCCAAAAAACGAAAAACAACAGAAAAACCCATGGTTCAACCAGGAATGTAAGGTAGCGAAACAGCTGAGTAAAAGAACATGGAGAAACTACAGAAATAACAGAACACCAGAGAGCAGGGAGAGATACCAGAGGGCCAGAAATGAGTACATCAGAGTGAGGAGGGAAGCAGAGAGACAGTTTGAAAATGACATCGCGAGTAAAGCCAAGACCCAACCAAAGCTGCTCCACAGCCATATCAGGAGGAAAACAGCAGTGAAGGAACAAGTGATGAAGCTGCGGAAAGGGGAGAACAGATACACAGAGAATGACAAGGTGGTGTGTGAAGAACTCAACAAGAGATTCCAGGAAGTCTTCACAATAGAACAAGGAGAAGCCCCTGCACTAAATGAGGAGGCGGCAAACCAAGCAACCTTGGAGGAATTTGACCTCACCAGTGATGAGGTCAAAAGATGTCTGCTGGAGCTAGATGTGACAAAGGCTGTTGGGCCTGATAGAATCTCACCATGGATACTAAAGGAAGGTGCAGAAGCACTAAGTGTGCCACTCTCTATGGTGTATAACAGGTCACTGGAAACAGGAGACTTACCAGAAAGTTGGAAGACAGCTAACTTTGGTCCCAATATACAAAAAGGGTGACAGGCAAGAGGCACTGAATTACAGGCCAGTTTCCTTAACTTGTATACCATGCAAGGTGCTGGAGAAGATCGTGAGGAAAAGGCTCGTAGAGCATCTGGAGGGAAATAACTTTGTAACGCACCACCAACATGGGTTCAGAGATGGTAAATCGTGCCTCACAGGTTTAATAGAATTTTATGACCAGGCAACGAAAATTAGGCAGGAAAGAGAAGGGTGGGCCGACTGCATTTTCCTGGATTGCCAAAAAGCCTTTGACACAGTACCCCATAAAAGGCTGTTACAAAAGTTGGAGCAACAGGCAGGAGTAAAAGGGAAGGTGCTCCAGTGGATAAGGGAGTACTTAAGCAACAGGAAACAGCGAGTAACGGTGAGGGGAAGACATCAGAGTGGCGAGATGTCACCAGCGGAGTCCCACAGGGCTCAGTACTTGGACCCATCCTGTTTCTAATATATGTGAACGATCTTCCAGAGGGTATAGACTCATTCCTCTCGATGTTTGCTGATGATGCAAAAATTATGAGAAGAATCAAGACGGATGAAGATAGACAGAGACTACAGGATGACCTGGATAAACTGGAGGAATGGTCTAGAAAATGGCTGCTGAAGTTCAACTCTGGAAAGTGTAAGGTGATGAAATTAGGCGAAGGGAGCAGGAGGCTGAACACAAGGTATCATCTGGGAGGGGGGGGGAAATCCTGCAAGAATCAAATAGAGAGAAGGATCTGGGGGTTGATATCACACCGAACCTGTCCCCAGAGGCCCACATCAAAAGAATATCATCAGCGGCATATGCTAGACTGGCCAACATAAGAACTGCCTTCAGAAACTTGTGTAAGGAATCTTTCAGAACCCTGTATACCACTTATGTAAGACCAATCCTGGAGTATGCAGCTCCAGCCTGGAGTCCATACCTAGTTAAACACAAGACAAAGTTAGAGAAGATTCAGCGGTATGCCACCAGGCTCGTCCCGGAACTGAGAGGATTGAGCTACGAGGAAAGGCTAAAGGAGCTGAACCTCACATCCCTGGAAAACAGAAGAGTAAGGGGAGACATGATAACCACCTACAAATTCTCAGGGGAATTGACAGGGTGGACAAAGACAAACTCTTCAGCACGGGTGGGACACCAACAAGGGGACACAGGTGGAAACTTAGTAACCAGATGAGCCACAGAGACGTTAGAAAGAATTTTTTCAGTGTCAGAGTAGTTAATAAATGGAATGCACTAGGAAGTGATGTGGTGGAGGCTGACTCCATACGCAGTTTCAAATGTAGATATGATAGAGCCCAGTAGGCTTAGGAATCTGTACACCAGTTGATTGACAGATGAGAGGCGGGACCAAAGAGCCAAAGCTCAACCCCCACAAGCACAATTAGGTGAGTACAATTAGGTGAGTACACACACATACACACACCTACACATACTCTCCCACACCTACACATACTCCCCCACACCCTACACACACCTATACATCCCCCCTCCCCTCCCATACACCCTACACATCCCTTGTGGGATTTAGTTGTCAGACTACTTAAAATGAGGAACTATCAATATGACAGGAACATAGCTGTCTACAGTTACAGTAGTCATATCCAGTGACCGCTAGGAAACTTTAATTATACTCTTGGAGGAAGTAGAACTCTCCTTTAGGGTGATCCTCACGAATGGTGCTGCTTTCAATTATCGGTTGGATGAAAAATTACCACTATATATATTTCAATTGCCTAAATATAAATTTAAGTATACATTTGCAATAGATAAATTCATAGCATTAAAGAATTAAATAATCATGTATAATATATACGTATAATCATTCTAATATAATGCATATGTGGCAAGATCCCAGATCAAAAGGATAGGGTAAAATAATTTGTAACTGTGTCAGTGCTGCTGCATTATATATATTATTACAAGTCTCTTTTATTTATTTATATATACAAGAGTTCTTACATTCTTGTACAGCCACTAGCACGCATAGCGTTTCCGGCAGGTCCTTTGTCCCATGTTCCCTAGAATACGACCCGCCAAATCGTTTAACAACCAGGTACCCATTTTACTGTTGGGTAAACCGTGGCTACAGTTAAGGATTGACGCCCAGTAAATACTCCCCGGCCAGGATACGAACCCAAGAGAAATCGCTCGCGAAACGCCAGGCGAGTGTCTTACCACCAACACCACGGGGACTTGTAATAATATATATAATTCAGCAGCACTGACACAGTTACAAATTATTTTAACCTATCCTTTTGATCTGGGATCTTGCCACATATGCATTATATTAGAATGATTATACGTATATATTATACATGATTATTTATTTCTTTAATGCTATGAATTTATCTGTTGCAAATGTATACTTAAATTTATCTTTAGGCAATTGAAATATATGTAAAATATTTTTTAAAAAATCCTTAACCTAGTTAATATATTTTTCTTTTAGTAGCAAGTAATTTACTTACTGAGGTGAGCATGTAAGCTCTTGGGATAACTGCACCTGCAATAAATTAGATTAATAACACAAAGAATTGGTTCCAATCTCAATGTACACCACCAACCTCCCTTATTTTATTATGATGCAGGAACGGAGCTCAGACTTATTGTACTAAGTCTGAGCTTATTGTACATTCCTCTTGTTGTACATTCCTCTTGTTGGGGCAGAGCATGTAGTGTTGTCCACTACCAATGTTGAAGTTATGTTGTTGACTCTGTGTGAGGGAGTGTGGTGTCGCTGGTGTGCGTCGGTGTCCTCACACTCTACACTGTTTCTGGCAAGACACACTTGTACCACTTTGTGTCTTAATGTTTATACACATTTATGTGTACTTTACTCCTCCATTCAGGGACACGGATATATAACAGCTGATATTAAACAGCCTGTACATCATAGGTGTGTCCTTAGGTGGGTGGAGGGGTATTGTTTACTGTGTGTGAGGGAGTGTGGCATCACTACTGTGGCATCAGTGTCCACACACTCCTCTAACAGTGTTACGGACCCGAGTCCAGCGTCCTTGCCCGGAGCAGTGACGACCACGCCATCTGTGGGTCAGCTCCCGAAACCCCTCCAAATGGACGATGCCATCTAGTGAGGACGAGATATACTGGCCACAAGGGCTAGTTTCCCGTCCTGATCAGCTCATAACACAGCTGCTGCTGACCTCTGGTGAGGTGGAGCTTAGACAGCAACGCCATCTATGGAGTGGATAGGTGGGCGTTTGTGTCTAAGCCTGTAAGTGTGGTGCCCTAGAGTGTCCCTATTACTGATGACGTGTCTGATTACAGAGTCGACCTGGGACTGCTGAATCGGACGGTGGAGCGGTCTACCCAAGGCAGCCGTAAAGTCTCCAAGTATTAGCTGCAGAAGTTGAGTCACCCCCCCCCCCCCCCGGATGAACACTGTTGTGTTAGCCTGCCTGTGACGTGGCAGTTGAGGAATTGTCGTACCCGGGGCTGACTCGTGGAGAAGAATAGCCACTGGGGTGTTGTGGTGAGGAGAGTGACCTGTGAAGTCACACGAGGCTCCTGCCTAGGGCTCGCAACCCTAGTATCGGTCGTGGAGTGGCCTAACCAGCGGAACTGATTGGAATCTGCCAGCTAAAGGCTGGATTTGTGGTTGACGGCCTCCACGACGGTGCACCCAGTGGGACTGTGGTTCGGCTGGCCTGTGGCCAGGGTAGACTCGAGAGAATCAAAGGATTCATTGTGAGGCCACAAGAGAACCAGGACTACTCGTCTTGAGCACCGTGAACGTCCAGAGTCTTCAGAGGAAGACCACGTTGTACATAAGTGTTTATACCTCCCCCCGTGTGATAATCTATATATTATTTATGGTGACGGTGATAATTATATTATTAAGTTTTTGCCTTTGTCTCCCTTCCCCTTTAATTTACTTGTGTTACGGAGCACACCCCTTGAAAGCCACAACTAGCTTGGTGCCGGATACCCAAACTCTACTAACATCAGAGAAAGAACCCAGTTGTGGGCCGTAACAAACAGTTCCAGGGCAAGACACACTTATATCCTTAAAATAGAGTGCCTTGCTTTTTATACACATTTATGTGTAGTTTACACCACCACGTGGACATGTGAACTATATGTAGTGTACATGTCCACGGATGTAAAACGGCAGTAAATTAAGGTCCCTGTACACGGTGTAGTGTCTCCTTGAGGCGGAGGAGTAATGTTTACTAAAGCGTCAGCGTCTGGACACACAGGCGATCCACCCCAAGGCAAGTGTCGTTGCCCAGCCTGTTTTAAGGATCCATTTACACAATCGTTAACCAGACGTATTTGGTTAAACAATTATTCATTGACTATACTCATTTAGTATTACCATGATATGCTTATAGCTTATTAGATGTAATTACATATCCTGATATGCCTACATTATCGAGGCCTCCTGACATGGTGTTTACAAAATGGTCAAAATATGTTGTCTCGACACTCTCTATGTCTTGGGAGAGCTGGGCTTCTGTCTTGACACTCTCTATGTCTTGGGAGAGCTTGGCTTCTGACTTGACACTCTCTATGTCTTGGGAGAGCTTGGCTTCTGATTTGACACTCTCTATGTCTTGGGAGAGCTTGGCTTCTGACTTGACACTCTCTATGTCTTGGGAGAGCTTGGCTTCTGTCTTGACACTCTCTATGTCTTGGGAGAGCTGGGCTTCTGTCTTGACACTCTCTATGTCTTGGGAGAGCTTGGCTTCTGTCTTGACACTCTCTATGTCTTGGGAGAGCTGGGCTTCTGACTTGACACTCTCTATGTCTTGGGAGAGCTGGGCTTCTGACTTGACACTCTCTATGTCTTGGGAGAGCTGGGCTTCTGTCTTGACACTCTCGATGTCTTGGGAGAGCTGGGCTTCTGTCTTGACACTCTCTATGTCTTGGGAGAGCTGGGCTTCTGTCTTGACACTCTCTATGTCTTGGGAGAGCTGGGCTTCTGTCTTGACACTCTCTATGTCTTGGGAGAGCTTGGCTTCTGACTTGACACTCTCTATGTCTTGGGAGAGCTTGGCTTCTGATTTGACACTCTCTATGTCTTGGGAGAGCTTGGCTTCTGACTTGACACTCTCTATGTCTTGGGAGAGCTTGGCTTCTGTCTTGACACTCTCTATGTCTTGGGAGAGCTGGGCTTCTGTCTTGACACTCTCTATGTCTTGGGAGAGCTTGGCTTCTGTCTTGACACTCTCTATGTCTTGGGAGAGCTGGGCTTCTGACTTGACACTCTCTATGTCTTGGGAGAGCTGGGCTTCTGACTTGACACTCTCTATGTCTTGGGAGAGCTGGGCTTCTGTCTTGACACTCTCGATGTCTTGGGAGAGCTGGGCTTCTGTCTTGACACTCTCTATGTCTTGGGAGAGCTGGGCTTCTGTCTTGACACTCTCTATGTCTTGGGAGAGCTGGGCTTCTGTCTTGACACTCTCTATGTCTTGGGAGAGCTGGGCTTCTGACTTGACACTCTCTATGTCTTGGGAGAGCTGGGCTTCTGACTTGACACTCTCTATGTCTTGGGAGAGCTTGGCTTCTGTCTTGACACTCTCTATGTCTTGGGAGAGCTGGGCTTCTGACTTGACACTCTCTATGTCTTGGGAGAGCTGGGCTTCTGACTTGACACTCTCTATGTCTTGGGAGAGCTGGGCTTCTGTCTTGACACTCTCGATGTCTTGGAGAGCTGGGCTTCTGTCTTGACACTCTCTATGTCTTGGGAGAGCTGGGCTTCTGACTTGACACTCTCTATGTCTTGGGAGAGCTGGGCTTCTGTCTTGACACTCTCGATGTCTTGGGAGAGCTGGGCTTCTGTCTTGACACTCTCTATGTCTTGGGAGAGCTGGGCTTCTGACTTGACACTCTCTATGTCTTGGGAATGCTGGGCTTCTTCTATAAATACCCTTGTTTGGTCCATATGCTCTCACAGACCGTGTGACTCAAACATGTTACGCTATAATTTTGGTGGAAATTTCCCACGTCCCCCCCCACACACCCTACACATCCCTCCACACACACATCCTACACATACCTCCACACACACCCTACACATCCCTCCACACACACATCCTACACATCTCTCCACCCACACCCTACACATCCCCCACACCCTGCACCCCCTTCACAGACCTTCCCTGACTCCCTCCACACCCACTTCACCAAACACCCTCAATGTCACACCCATATTTCAAGCTTCTGAGGAGTCGTTGTTTGTCGCAATTTATGATAGTTCTGCTTAACGAGACGCCTGGAGGTCGACCCCAACTACCCTATGACCCTCCCCTCACAATCATAGGTCACCGTGGGAAGGTGTAAGAGACTAGCGGCAAACGGCTGACCTCCAACCACTGACAGAGAAGCACATAAACATTATTTCTTATAGATACAGACTAGACGGAGTATCCGGCTGAGCCTGGGTCTCTCTTCCTCTTATCTCCTCATGTCTCATCCCTCTTCCCCCTTCCCCTATCCCGCCGTTCACTTCCTATTTCTCCATCTCTACCCTCTCTTGTTTCTTTTCCCCTATTCACCCATTTCTTCCTGTTTCCCCTTTTCCTCTTCTGTCCCCCGCTCTTCACCTTTCCCCCCCACACCGCTCTCTCTCCCTCTCCTTTCGTCTCTACACACTCTCTCTCAATCTTTCCCTGTTTTACAATCTCATCTCTCTATTTCAAATTCCCCCCTTTCCTCCTTTCTTCCCTCTCTCCTCACTTCTCCTCCTCCTCCTCCTCTCTTCCCTCTCTCCTTACCTTTTCTCCTTTCTACCCTCTTTCCTCCCCTCCCCTTCTCACTTCCCTTTCTCCTCACCTCTCATTTACTCTCCACCTTTTTTTCCACGCCTCTATCATGATCGCTGAGAGTAGGTTAAAGCGATAATTATTGTCAGAGTCTATTTTATGTAATTAAATTAGAAACCGGACGGTGTTTAATCCCCATCTGTGTGTTCCTTGATAGAGTTGTAGCATTAACCTATTGGTATGCCTCATGGGTCTGCTGTAGAGAATTAGACTGTAGAAAGTAACTGTTTCTGAGGCATGGGAGTTACAGTTGTGTAATCGTTGTGTTTGGAGTGAGCTAAGGTTCAGCGATCACGACAGATTTGGTGGCAGCGGTGGGATTCGAACCCAGGCCTCCGAACAGGCGTGGGTTCGAATCCCACCGTGGGTTAGCTTCATTCACTAGTTAATATTCAGTCCTAACTTGTGAATTACAGCACCTGCACCCTCTACATGCTCTTTTCTCAAGTTACCTGCTCTTCCCACCATTCTCTCTCTCACCCTTTTCTCTTACATTTACCAGTTCTCCTCTTCTCTCACCTCTCTCCCCTTCTTCAACATTCTACCCCACCATCCCCATCTACCCCTATCCTACTCTTCACCTTTTTCTCTCCCCTCCTGTCAACATTATCGCATTCTCCAACTCTTTATCTATCCACCTCTCTCTCCCTCCTTCTCTCTCTTCCCTATCTCCTTCTCAATCCTCCCAAACTCCTCTGTTTTTCCCTCTCCGTCCTCTCCTCGTTTCTCACCTCACATTCTATCTTCCCTTCTTTCTCCCCTCTCACCCTTTCCACCTTTCTTTCCTTTCATCTCAACCCCTCTGTCCTTCCCTCTCTTCAAACATCCCCTTTCTCTTTCTTTTCCTCTCCTATTCCATCCTTTACTGCCCTCTCTATCGGCCCCCTTAACATCATCCATCTCTATCTCTCTCTCTCTCTCTCTCTCTCTCTCTCTCTCTCTCTCTCTCTCTCTCTCTCTCTCTCTCTCTCTCTCTCTCTCTCTCTCAAATTCACAATATAAGAAAACTTATATTGTGAATTTGTAGCTCTGACACTCCTAAATAACGTTATTGAAATGTCTCTATATCAGATTTCATTAAAATCTCACTTGTGATTGATATAGAAATTTATATTTCCTCGAATACACAATAGGCATCTCGACTGACCTAAGACGGTCCCATACCCCATATGTGGCATTTGAGAAATTTGAACTAGGCTAGCCACAAGGATTTGGCTTCAAATGCAGGCAAACAAACAAAAAAACAAACAGACATTCTCTTTTATTGATTTACTGGGAGGGGATCCTAAAGGAGGCTGGGATACTCCCACTCTCCCTCTCATAGCTTTATTCCGCAAGTCTTCTTTTCCCTTCTCTCCACATGCACCTCTTCCTATCATGGCTCCCCCTCACCCCTTTCCTCCTCGGGGTAACCTGCTTCACCCACGTCGTTTCCTGCCCCTTTTCTCCTATTTCTAGTCTCTTCTTTACTCTTCACCCTATGACCCCATTGTGTCTGTCCTCTGTGTTCTCCCTTTGTCATTCCCTTCATCCTCAATGCCCTTCTTTCTTCCCCTCCCCCTTGTTTGCCTCCACTGTCCCTTATCCCCTTATACTGTTCCCCCTTGGTATTTTTTCTCCCTTCCTGCCTCGTCCACCCCTTTCCCCTTCTCTTAAAAAATGTATTATTTGAAATACATATACAACTAAATGGATCTCTCCGAAAATATAATATCATTAGCACTAAAACTCTACGGAAACAATACCATATATTACACACCTGACTCCATGAAAAACACAAGGGAGTGGTTATAAATGCTAATATTTATTAATTCATTTACCTTAGGCCTACTCTGACAACCTATGTCCGTCCAGTACACAAGACCATTAAAATTTAGGTAAGTTTGTCCTGCAAATATCTGGGCAGATTTGAACAAAGGCAAATTTGGAGAGACAGCAATACATACAGACCTTCTTATAGTATTCATAATAAAAGAGGACCCAGCAGTACTAGCGTCTGTCTGTCCCAGTGACCCTAAGCCCCCTTCTCTCTTCCTGCCCCCCCTTTTCCCCTCTTTCCTCTCCCTTCTTCCCAACATTTGCTCTCCCTCCACCCTCTCCCACCCTCTCCCACCCTCTCCCACCTTCACCATCTTTTCCCTTCCCTCTTCCTTTCTTTAGGCATCTTGCCTCCTTGTGTTCATCTCCCTCTCCCTCCCCCCTGGCCTCTCCCTCCCCCCCTGGCCTCTCTCTCTCCCCCCTGGCCTCTCCCTCCTCCCTGGCCTCTCCCTCCCCCCTGGCCTCTCCCTCCACCCTGGCCTCTCTCTCCCCCCTGGCCTCTCTCTCCCCCTGGCCTCTCCCTCCTCCCAGGCCTCTCCCTCCTCCCTGGCCTCTCCCTCCACCCTGGCCTCTCCCTCCCCCCTGGCCTCTCCCTCCCCCCTGGCCTCTCCCTCCTCCCAGGCCTCTCCCTCCTCCCTGGCCTCTCCCTCCACCCTGCCTCTCCCTCCCCCTGGCCTCTCCCTCCCCCCTGGCCTCTCCCTCCCCCCTGGCCTCTCCCCTCCACCCTGGCCTCTCCCTCCTCCCTGGCCTCTCCCTCCTCCCTGGCCTCTAACTCCCCCCTGGCCTCTCCCTCCTCCCTGGCCTCTCCCTCCTCCCTGGCCTCTCCCTCCCCCCTGGCCTCTCCCTCCTCCCAAGCCTCTCCCTCCTCCCTGGCCTCTCCCTCCACCCTGGCCTCTCCCTCCCCCCCTGGTTTCTCCCTCCCCCCTGGCCTCTCCCTCCACCCTGGTCTCTCCCTCCACCCTGGCCTCTCCCTCCTCCCTGGCTTCTTTCTTCTCCCCCCTGGCCTCTCCCTCCCCCCTGGCCTCTCCCTCCCCCCTGGCCTCTCCCTCCTCCCTGGCCTCTCCCTCCCCCCTGGCCTCTCCCTCCTCCCTGGCCTCTCCCCTCCTCCCTGGCCTCTCCCTCCTCCCTGGCCTCTCCCTCCTCCCTGGCCTCTCCCTCCCCCCTTGGCCCTCCCTCCCCCCCTGGCCTCTCCCCTCCCCCCTGGCCTCTCCCTCCCCCCTGGCCTCTCCCTTTCCCCCTGGCTTCTCCCTACCCCCTGGCCTCTCCCTCCACCCTGGCCTCTCCCCCCTCCCTGGCCTCTCCCCCCTCCCTGGCCTCTCCCTCCTCCCTGGCCTCTCCCTCCCCCCTGGCCTCTCCCTCCCCCCTGGCCTCTCCCTCCTCCCTGGCCTCTCCCTCCCCCTGGCCTCTCCCTCCCCCCTGGCCTCTCCCTCCCCCTGGCCCTCCTTCCCCCCTGGCCTCTCCCTTTCCCCCTGGCCTCCTCCCTCCCCCCCTGGCCCTCTCTCCTCCCTTGCCTCTCCCTCCACCCTGGCCTCTCCCCCCTCCCTGGCCTCTCCCTCCTCCCTGGCCCTCTCCCTCCCCCCTGGCCTCTCCCCTCCTCCCTGGCCTCTCCCTCCCCCCTGGCCTCTCCCGCCCCCCTGGCCTCTCCCTCCTCCTGGCTTCTCCCCCCTCCCCCCTCTTCACTCGTCCGCCACTCTCTGGGGACACATCTCTCAACAAACACGCAACACAACCATAATGTTATTAATAATATTGTTACTTTGAGGTTTCGTTTGTAACAACGTCGCTAAAAAACGTTGTGGTTACGGTGTGTGTACGTTGCAATATTCGGAACATATTAAAATATTTTATACAACTCCCTGGAAAACACACCACCAATTTCATTCATTATTGGAGCTTGCAGGATTGGGAATAGGTGCATGGGAGGTTGACACCAACCACCAAGTAACGCTCACCAAAAAATTACAAATCGCCATGCGTCCACAGCTTCTACAGCAGGTGGGTACTAATGTAGTGGGTGTCTCTGTCTCATGTAGGTATGTAAGATGTCTCTGGTGATGGTCAGGTTGTGTGAGGAGATTATATGCTCCATGATAAAGCCCTGATGCTCCATTAGGACCAGACCTTCACACACAACCAGACCATCACCAGAGACATCTTAACTAGCAACACTGAAATAATCGACAGGTATAACTACACCAGAAGACTGGACATCAGCGAGGCACTACACATAAAAAAACAAGACCAGCAATCAACAACCAGTTAACACATAATTACATCCTACCCGCTTAAAGACCGAACCAACACAGAGACAGGATACAATGACCCTGCCTTAGAAACACAAGCTGCTACAGGAACATAAGCTGCTTATGTTGATGCATGTAATTCCCTATTAATATCCCCAATGTTATGTCATTCATCTACTTGTTCCACCCACTTGTTCTGTACCACCAGGGGTGCAGTTGCACCTCCACAGATCTCCAGTATCTTCTATTGATACTCAAAAGGGCCATCACTTACGGGCTATTCATGCCCGTGCCCCCTTTTGGGTGGCTTAATCTTCATCAATCATCAATCTGTACCACCTCACCCAAAGATAATATAAGCCTGTGCATAAATCCACAAGGGCCGTATTGAGGGTTCGAACCTACTTCTGGGATGATCCCAGACGCACCTTAGTCTGTGCAAATTAGCCTGTGCAAGAGCATGGCATTTGAGAATTTGAGAATGTAAGGAATGACCTTGCAAAACGCATCCCTTGACGTTAGATAAAAATATGTGTGAAAACGAACTCTGAAACGAGCCCTCGACAGTGAAGAAAAACATAAGAATTATTGAAAAGATTCGAGTTAGATTCATTAATCTTACCCTTTCGGTCATATTCAACAACATATGGTTCCAAGAAAGGCTGCTACCAAAATATACTAATCTGTGTGTATATATATATATATATATATATATATATATATATATATATATATATATATATATATATATATATATATATATATATATATTGTGACGATAATCTCCTTCAAGAGATTGAGCCTGCTCTTCCCTCCATAATTACGTCGTTGAAATTATATAATACTACTATGGAAGAAATGTCCAACAACGACAACAACACCAGCAAGGTTTGCCAGAGCGCAAAACGTTGCAGCCAGAGACACCTGTTCAGACTCAAACCGCCAAACTACCTGTTGATCGCTACCGGCCCCGCTGATTGGTCGCCGGTC